GGGGGGGGAAGGCTGATACAAAAAAAAAAAAAAAAAACGACTTAATGAAATAATTGAATGTGGGTGAGATTAGACAAGCATAGCATACAGGCAGAGAGGAGATTCTCCCTTTCCTTGTTCACTTTTCCTTTCTTTCTTTTCTTTTTTAGAAAGGCTTATACAGAATGCACAACTTCCTCATCAGTTGATTTAGCTCTCTCTCGATTTCTAGGTCTTTGTAGGGGTAGGGTCCAGCCGCCTCCGCTGATGCTGGTGGGGCGGCCTTCCGCCCCCAGCCGGCGGTAACTCCGCCGGTCTCTTCGCCGCTCCTCCACCTACCACATCTCTCTTGAACGCCGCCAGGTCATCATCGACAGAATCCCCTTCCAGGAGAGGGAATTTAGTGGCCAAGTCATCCGTGCCAATCTGCGCAACAGCCTCCGCCTCGAACTCCAGCGCCAGAACCTTCTCTTCCATCTTCTCAAACGCCGCCAGCGCGCTGCTGGTATCTATGGACCCGACCATCTGCTGAACCTTTTGGCTCGTCTTCGCCGACTGCGCGCGCGCTTTCAGCGTGCCCTTCCTCGACTTCGCTTCCTGAATCTTCGTCTCCAGCAATCTCGTGTTGGAAATGAGTTTGTCGACGACCACTTTTTGCTGGTCTAGTTGCGCTTTAAGTGCCTTGGCGCTATCGTCGTAATCCTTCCGCCTCTTTAGCGCCTCCTTGGCGAGCATCTCATCCCCTTTCTCGAGCGCCAGTCGCTGGCCGTGGTCTCCGCCGCCTTGTACCTGTTCTCCAGCTGTTTCTGCGACGCCAGCACGTGCGCCGACGCCTGCCTCATCTTCGCAAGAATTTTCTCCGGGTCTTCGGCGGCGCTCACCAGAGCGTTCGCGTAAGACCGGACGATGCGCACGATACGCTGAAAGATGTTCATCTGCGCGCCGAGGAGGCCCCCGGCCCCGCCACCGCCAGCGCCGCCCAACGACCCTGCCACGTCTGTCGCCATCGCGAGAGCCGCGCCCGACCCGCCATCGAAGAACGAGCTGCGGAGTGCATACCTGTCGATCGCGCAGGCGCAAAAAGAACCCGCGACGTCTACCGCCGCCGCCGCCCCACCCCCGCAACCCTTGTCCCCTCGGCAGCCGCCGGACAACAAACTGCAATGGAGGGCAATTAACCACCCCCCCCCGCCATCGTCCGACCTCCTCCCGCTGATGGTTCCCCCGCCGCCAGCCAGGCCCTCCCTTCGCACGACGACACGCTGGAAAGAACGTGCATCATCGCCGCCGCGCATTGCACGCCGTTGCGGCGCACCGAAACTGAAAGCGGTACTAACCCCAAAGCTTGCCTCGGACGGGACGTCGTCGGTGACGATCGCGCTGCGTTGAAGGTGGCTGCCGCGTGGCTGCTACCTGCGCAGCTTGAGATAACCGGTGCCGTCCCGGCTGCCACGGCCGGAACTGCCATGGCTAATTAAGAAAGGCAGCAGAATGACAAGGCGATCGAGATTCTGAGGACTACCACATACACGCGGCTCGATATTTTGTACTCTCACGTTTGTCCGCCCGCGAATCGATGGTCACACATAATGCACCCCCTCCCCCTCTCTGTCTCTATCTGTCTTTCTGTCTACTGCCTGTCTGTCTCCCTTGTCTGCCACACGCAACGCACTGAATATCCATCACCAGTCGATGGAGAATGTGGACGTACGTCGAGTAGACTGAAGGTAGTTTTGTCACCGGGCACGTGTGCACACACACACACACACACACCTGTCTCTTATACACATCTAGATGTGTATAAGAGACAGTCATACAAGTATCCAGCCCACTCGCTAGTACATC